TAACAACTGTCCTTTTCCAATAAAAGAGTTGCCTTTTCCAGAATTGATATAAGGGATTGTCTAGTTTCTTGTAACTTATTATGCCTTGCTTAGTTGATATCCCTGTGATGACAGCTCTTTTTTTTTTTTTCATAAGGGAAATGGAGGAAGCATGGAATGTGGGGGGAGAGGAGGTGGAGGAGGGACTGAGAGGAATATAAGGAGGAGAAACTGCAAGTCAGGATGTAATGTATGCAAGAAAAAAAGAAAGAAAAACAATTCAACCTCCAATGGAAAAAAAAGAATGACTTGTTACAGTTCAGTAAATAATTTAATTAACAACTGTCTGTTTTCTTGCAAAGACAGCAGTAAGACGCTAAAGCATAGACATCTGGGAAGAATCAGAAGAACAACATGGCAAAACCTGAGAACAGGGTTGCAACTCATGGGGTGAGATGTTTTTCCAAGATCAAGGTATGGATTGTTAGCTTGTATGCATGTATATGCGCACAAGAGTCTTTTAAGTAAGCTTTGATAGTCCTTGCAACATTGCTCAGATTACATGAAGTTTTCCAACACAAAAGCCATTTTACTCAATTTGTTGTTAATTTCTTGCCCTAAAGAATTTGATTTTATAATTAGGGATGTCTAACCAGGATAATTTATCCAGGAAACTTAATAATAATGCTTTAGATGATCTTAAATGTGGATGAGATTTAAAATGTTTTAGGTATGTATTATATTTAAAATGTATAGGTTGTGGAATTTAGTCTGAGGACAGATGTCAGAACCTCAGTGCTCAGCCCTCTGGGGTTCCTGACAGAAAGTCAGGAGTCACAGCTAGGAAACAGTTCCCCAACATCTGTTGAATGATATGCAAAGAAGACTTTATGACCCAGTCAGACAAACATTTTTTTTCAAACTTTGGCAATACTACAATCATGGTTTTGTAAGAAAATGTCCATTCTGTTCACTGTTTTGGTGGTTTTCAGTAGTTTAGACATAATTGTCCTTCTCGTAGTTCCAAAGGCATCTTTCCATCACCAAACGTGAACTCGTATTAACCCAAGGAATCTGAGCACTGGCCTAGTCTCTGCAGAGTCCCTCACAGGTTCCTCTCTAAGCTTCTGCCTCCTCAGTCATCCCATCACAAGCTCCTTTACCTTAGTCACATGTAGTGGACTCCATACATTAACACAAAAGAGATGGAGGCCTCAGACTCAGCCCTGGAAAGTGTTTTTACCAGCAGTGATGCTTGAATTATTGAGACCCAACCCCCTCAAGTTATCTTTCCATTCTCACATTATTCTGTGGAGCCCAGATCCCCTGGCTCATGACCTTTGCCAGATGCATACCAGATGTGTCACTTTGTACAGCTGGTGCAGATTGTTGATACTTAAGTGTATTTCATCTGGAAAGGGTAATGGTAGCCCTGCATGTTAGATACAAACATCATTCTGAGACGTGTGTGTGTGTGTGTGTGTGTGTGTCTGTCTGTCTGTCTGTCTGTCTGTCTCTGTATGTGTGTGAATGCTCACCTTTAAGGGCTATTCTAAACTAATGGTATGAAGAATTAGAACCATATGCTCACATACACCAGAAAACTCCTCTATTCCTGATCTATACCTCCTCCACCACCTTTAAGATGTTTTAATTACTTTACATTTATTTTTTACTTTTATGTATATGAATATTTTGCCCTCATGTATGCTGGTACATCTCTTGTGTGTCTAGCTAATATCCTTGGAGGCCAGAAGAAAGTGTTGGATCTCCTGGAACTGGAGTTACAGGTGATTTTGAACCACACACAATGTGGGTGGATGTTAGGAACTGAATCCAGGTCATCAGCAAGAGCAGGCAGTGTTCTTGATTGCTGAGATACATCTTCAGCATCATATCTTAGGAAAAAGATGAGAATTATGTTTATTAGTTACTAATATTAATAGTATTTGTACAGAAATGTCATCAGATGCCATAAACACTGTTTCTCAAAGTTTATCTGTGGTTACTGTCTTAGTTATGGTTTCTATTGCTATGAAGAGACACCATGGCCACTGCAATTCATAAGGGAAAACATTTAATTGGGGCTGGCTTCCAGGTTCAGAAGTTTAGTCCATAATCATCATGGTGGGAAGCATGGGGGCCCAAGGGAGATGTGGTTCTAGAGAAGGATCCAAGAGTTCTAAATCCAGATAGGCAGGCAGCAGGAAGAGAGTGACATTGGACCTGGCTGGAACTTCTGAAACATCAAAGCCCACCCTCATTGACCCACTTCCTCCAATAAGGCCACAGCTCCTAATAGTGCCACTACCTCGTGGCCCAGCATTCATATCTATGAGCTTATAGGGACCATTCCTATTCAAACCACCATAGTTACTTTGGAGTTTAACAACAGTAGATACTGGTGTGAAGGTTATGGGAAAATGTTAAAAACACGAGTTTACAAGTCAAAATTAAAAGTAATTTTTTAAAAATAATCGACTTCTCTGAATTTAGAATTATCTAGAACATTAGAGTGGTCAAATTCTCTACAGTGCCAGACTGAAGCTCCTGCTTCTTAAGTTTAGAAATGTAATCATTAAGAAAAGTGTCCCAGGACAGGGGAAATGATGGTCTTAATGACCTTCAGCCATGCACACATTGATGACTTCACCAGGCACCACTGGTTAGTTCTAACCCAGTGGCTACACAGATGGCCCTGGTTAAACTTCATGGAACAAAAAGCTAAAGCAAAACTCATGAACCTTGGAAAAGTACTGGTAGGAATGAGGGTGTTGATAGGAAAGAAAGTGGAAGAAGAGAGGTAGAAAGTAGTGATGATGATATGTATGTATGAAATCACCAAACAGTAAGGTTTATCAATAAAATTTATTAACAGAAAGGAAAATTTCTCATGGAAGTGAGGAGATGTCTTGGTCAGTAAAGTACTTGGCCTTAGAAGCTGGAGGACCCGAGTTCAGTCCCCAAGCCTACATAGAAACTAGGCATAGTGACACTAACTACAATCCCAGTGTGGGTGCCATGGAGTCAGCAGATACTTGGTGCTCGTGGCAAAGCAAGGCTTTCCTGCTGGGTGAATTCCAGGCAGGTGAGAGTCTCACTTATTTTTTAAAAATTCTATAAAGCTTGAGCCAATACACCTGCACTTGTTTTCTCTCTCCCCATGTGCATATACACACATGAACTCATCCCTCACGAAATGGATACACTAAAAAAGAAAAAGAATGAGAGAAAAAAGAGAACTCCCTTAGGAAATGAAAAGACTGCTCCAAAAAAGTTTGCTTCATACTCTAGCTTGCTGAGGTGAACAGTCAGCAGGACTGGGTTTGTAAATGCACATGTTGGGTAGCAGTGGACCTGAACCAGCATGGACACTGGTTTCATTAACTTTCTGAGCAGAAGCAAATGCTTTAGAGAAAGTGCAGTGTGCTCACTACCTGCTTGGATGTCTCCTTCAAAACATGGATCAAATAAAATATCTCCTTCAGTCCGATATTTTTATTTTGATAGATCTTACTTTCAAATATAGGACCTGAGTTATAAAACCCATGTGAAAATTATCAAGTATCAATCACATTCTCAGAAAGATTTGTAGCGGGAAGGGGGAACTTCTCTGCAAATGGCATTTGGAGTTAGAAGACAAACTTCTAGAGCTGGAGTTACACTTTCTTACAATCATAGAGTACTTTTGAGCTATACTGAACTTGGTGTTCATGTTTCCCAATTCTTTTTTTTGCATTTATTTCTATTCTCATGTATCCAAATTAATTGGTACTGGTGACACTAACACAGTATGATCTGCCTATTATTTCAGATGAGATAACACAGAAGTTCCAGAAGCTGGGATGATGACATTTGCCATCAACTAGCTCCTGGAAGAGAAGGGAAATGGGGATCTCATTTACTACATCACTCAAGAGTTCATTAGTAACAGGCAGGTAGTGGGGAGTCTTATAAGAACACAGCCACATTTCATCCTGCACCCAAGAGACCCCCAGAATGTTCTTCCTGTGTCTTCATGCCACGAACACCACTTGGACTACTGAGATAAAGGGTTATAGGACATATTGCCCCAGGAAGAAAAATAAAACAGGTCATGCTGCCCATAGCAGTGAGAATGTAGCTTGTTGTTCTCAAGGATGCAGAGAAAGAGGACAAAATGTTGAACTGGCCAGGAACATCCAGAGACCTGTCATTCTTGCAGATAGAACAGAGTAGACTTGCTGCAGAAAAGATGCTGTCGTGTAATTCTGTGTTCTGTTCCTTCCCTTCCTTAAAGTGGACAACACTTGTCCTGCAGATAACAGTATAGTACTGAGGAGCCATCAATAGCTGTGTCTTGCATTGAATAACTGCCTGTCTCTCTGTGAGAATAAGGGACACTGATACATGAGCAAAGCCTACAGAATTCACCACTGCTAGCCAGCTCTTCTAACCCTGCTTTTCCAGAGTGTAGTGGTATTTGCTCCACCCATGACCTTGGGCTATAGGGCCTGAAGGAGGTGGTTCTTCTTACCATTGTACCTGACCTCTGAAAAAGAGAAGAGAGAGGGGTCATGTAGTCCCTTCTTTCTTGTATGTATGTATGTATGTATGTATGTATGTATGTATGTATGTATGTATGTTTGTATGTATTTATTTATTATCCTAGTGTGATCAGACTCCAAAGGACCTGGGAATTGAACCTGGATCCTATGGAACATTAGTCAGTGCTCTTAACCCCTGAGCTACCTCTCTATGGACCCCATATCCCACTCTTCTCTCTTTTTAAGAGGTCACATACAAGGACAAGAAGCACTGCCTCCTTGGGGCCCTATAACCCAAGGTCATGGGTGGAGCAAATACCACTACACCAGAGTTAGGACAGTGATAGAGCAGAGATTACACTTCTTCCATGTTCAAGAGCTGGTTAAGTTGCATACAATCCTATATCTCATGGTATAGGCCTTTTTGTCAGTAGATGGAGGATATATAATTGGAAAACCAGGTTCTCACTTTTTCTTAAATGTTTTTCTTCTTAGATGTTTCTATTTTCATTAACAATGGCATATGTAGCCAAATCACTATCAGGAACTTACATGAATTCTATGCTCACACAAATAGAGAGACAATTTGATATCTCCACATCTGTAGTTGGATTGATCAATGGGAGCTTTGAGATTGGTGAGTAATTTTCACATTTACTTATTGTTTTATATTGATATTCTCTCCTTATTCCTGTTGTGTCTGGGGTCTTGCAATAATTGGGGTCAGTCAGACCATCAAAGTCTATTAAACCAGAAACAAACTTCATTCCAGAAAAATAAAAAAAATTAAAAATTAAGAAAATAATAAAAGACTGCAGGGTACAAAGCTTATCAGCTAGCTGAGACTACAGCCAGTTTTGGAATTCTGGGGCTATGGCAATGGAGGCAGGTACTGGCCCCCTTTTATAGTGTAGGCACAGGTTGCATGCTAGGAGTCATGTTGAAGCATCAGGTATGGGATGCATGCAAGAAGCCATGTAGAAAAACTATATTAAAAGTTAACCTTGGTCCAGGCAGTTGTTGACTCTAGGGGGCAAAGGGATTAAAAGTTAACCCCTGGCTGTTGACAGAGGAGCTGGCTGTAAAGCAGACAGCCATTGTTAGCAGTTAATCTTTAGAGCTGACGATTGTCAGTTTTTATCTCTTAAGCTTATCATTTTATATGTCTATGTTCCTGGACCCTTCAATTTTCTGCCTTAGACTATTTGATCTGACTGAGGTACATGCTTTCTGATGTGACTGAATAGCCTGGTTTGGGAGTGAAGAAACCACCATTTAAGTATCCCCAGGACAGCGCCTAATTATTGTTACATACCCTGACTTTTTTTTCTGACAAGAGGCTGAAGATTCAGTGTATTAATATCTAATTCTATCATTTGATAAGTCAAAGAGAACCTCAGGGCTTTTCTTTGGCATTTGAGAAGGTTGCTGTGGGAGCCTGGAGGAACTGGGGTCCTGAAGAAGAGAGCAAGTGCTTCTCTTCCCCCACTGTGTCTGTGAGGTTGGCAGCTCTCCACTCCTAGTCACTTGTAAGATGAGGGTGCTTTCCTGTGTTTGAGTTGTGCCAGACAAGATTGCTAAGAGGAGTGAATGAACTTTAGCCCCAGAATTTGTGTAAAAAACTACGATATGATAGTACAAAGGGTGAAGGAGGGAAAGATGCCCTCTTTAGACAAAGTGACCTGGAAGCCTTTTATTCTTGTTATTTACTTCCTTCAAGGTCAAATTGTCTTTAATGTATTTAATCAAAACAGAGTAGAGAACCAGGACTGTGAAGTAGTGAACCCACACTGAGGATGCGCCATCCTGTCTCCAGGATCAATCTCCTTAGTGCTTGCTCTGCCCTCTGTGTCCTTGGCCTTCACAGTGCAGTCAGGATGAATGCCTTCCATAAACATTTCACAGATTTAGTCGTGTTCTAGTGTGTTAGATGCAGCAAGGGCAACCCATTGGTTATGCAAGGTCTTACAGAACACATTGTGCTAGGGAGTTCTGTCTCCTGAAATAGTAAAGGTTTTCCAGGTGGAGAAGTGGACAGGTAAATGTGAAGGGGAGATTTGTATGGAGGATGAATCATCAAATGGTGTGTGGGGGGATGTAGTCAGCTCTGTATTATGGGAAGGTGAAATGTGTTAGAGCATGATCCTGGAGAGATGTGCAGATGAGATATAGATAGTTTGTGACTTGCTCTACAGTGGATCTTTTATCCCTCTGGTGGAAGAGAGCCAGTTTAGGGTTAGAAGAGGGTACTGATCTTTCTATGCTGAGGACTTATATTTAAAACCTAATTGTGGTGATATTGTGTTCCCCAAAATATTGTGCACCCTAATAAAGTTATCTGGGGTCACAGAACAGAACAGCCACTAGATATAGAGGTGAGAAAATGGTGGCACACACACCTTTAATCCTAGCACTCCAAAGGATCCATCTGGATCTCTGTGAGTTCAAGGCTGTACTGGAAACAGGCAGGTATGGTGACACAGGCCTTTAATCCCAGGAAGTGATAGCAGGAGGCAGAAAATTATATAAGGTGTAAGGACCAGGAACTAGAGCCTGGTTAAGCTTTTAGGCTTTTGAGCAGCAGTTCAGCTGAGATCCATTCAGATGAGGACACAGAGGCTTCCAGTCTGAGGAAACAGGATCAGCTGAGGATTTGGTGAGGTGAGGTGGCTGTGGCTTGTTCTGCTTCTCTGATCTCACAGCATTCACCCCAATACCTGGCTACAGGTTTGATTTTATTAATAAGAACTTTTAAGTTTCATGCTACACCTAATACCATCTGATTTCAGGATAATATTTTAATTGCATAAAATGAAACTTTATACTTGAAGAGGAAGCCAGTTACACTGAAACAGGATTATGAGCACATTTAAACAGCCCATAAACCAGGAATATTTGTGCTTTTTAAAGAGCAAGGTGAATCTTATCTGGATCTGATTTTCAAGTGATTATTGGCTCCATGACAGTTTGCAGTATTTACAATAATGGCAATGTCAGAAGCCACTATTTATTCTTCTATTGGAGATGGAATCATGGCTGCTCATGTCACTACTGCTTCCTACTTTACCACGAACAGAAATGTTTATGCCAGTTAATGATTATTGAAAATATTTTCCTCCCAGTTTCCAGAAAACTTGAGTTTCTTGGAAAGCTAGTTTCCGTGAACTCTGGTTTTTAGACTAAAGGTTAAAATGTTCTGTTTAAATTAGAAAATATTAACTTCTTCCACCAGCATTGGATGTGATAGGTGACTTGGGGAAGTCTTAATTAGAAATAGTTGTAAGAGGAAATAATTCACATTGGTCACGGAATGCAGCATTTGGTGGGCATTTCTCCAGATAGTTTTGCAAGCAACCTTCCCCAAGCCTGGACAACACCTTACCTCTCTCCCCACACTTTCCCATCAATTACTTGAGAGACACAGCAAGGCAATCAAAGCCTAATGTGAGGAAGGGATGCCTCTCTGTCAGAATAGTGTTTCCCATTGAGTTTCTTTAAACATAAGCTTTCTCCTGAACCACAGAGATGGACTCCTACAATCTAGGCCTAAGACCCAGCTGGAAGGTTAGGACTCTGACTTTCTCTCTGTTAACACTATTACCTGGTCTAAGGAAAGATGTGACAGTAGAAGCAGACATCCAGCCTAGCCATGCTGAGTATAAAGGGGTTCTTAAATAGTAAAGTTAAAAAACATGAATCCATTTGACTCTGCATAGAGCAGACATGAGAGGAGAGGTCAGGTGACGTGTAGGCTGACATCTGCTTTTGTATCCATTCCCAAGGGCTGGATAATCTTGAAAAGAGCCCTCAATATTCTCCAAAAATGGAACAGAACCCTCCCTCAGGGTCACAATCGATATCAACAATGCACAAACCTCCCAAGCACCCATCCTGTATCCTTAAGGTGATTGTTGAAAATGAACTCTAGAATTCAAATGCTGAAGAGGCTGTTGACTTAAGATCTGCTATTACTTTACTGAAACAAACATTCTCATTCCTCTCTCCTAGGAAACCTTTTGTTGATTATATTCATGAGTTATTTCGGAACAAAACGGCACAGGCCTCTCATGATTGGTGTCGGATGTGTGGTTATGGGCCTAGGGTGTTTCTTAATGTCACTACCTCATTTCCTGATGGGCCGGTGAGTACTCCAGTCTTTCATGATATTTTAGGTTCAACTTTCACTTACAGAAAATGAGGCTCAGAATTTCCGCTCTGGGAAAAGCACTGCTTCCCCAAAGTTCAGAATGCTAATATGGAAATTGGAAGATATATTCTCCATTCTGCTGGTGTGATCTGTGACTCTTGCAGCCTGGGTCCATTTCAGGTCCAGTCCTGTCCACTGTGAAGTGGGAATTTGAGACATTGCTTTCATGAAGTTGAGACACCGAACAGATTCTCTGAATCTGCCAAAGCTTGTGCTGAGTCCTTCATCAGGACTATTTAGACCCTACAGTTACAAGGGGTCTACAGTGTGACATAATCACGGGCCAGCAAGGGACAGACCGATGTCAAGGCTGATTTATTTTTGTGTTTACCAATGTATCATAACACAGGAAAGTATAAAAGTGAAATTATGTTGTGGTCCCCCCCCCCCACTTTCCTGCTTTCTGGGGAAAGTTTTCAGTTCTTTCTTCTGTTTGCCTGTGTGTCTTTTTAGTTTTAACACCTTAATATCCAATGATACACAAAATAATATTTCCTACCACAGAGTCATGCTATTCTTTGTTATGGAGCTGGATTCTTTCTCTAGACTGAATGCTTAGCTCATGTCCCCATTAGATTGACTCTCCGAGTCTCTCCCCGTCTCCCTATCCCTCACAGGCTGGCAGGGTGAACTTCCCTCAGAACAGGTCAGGGCTGCATGGTTGTCCCAGGCATGCCTCTCGCTGGTGTCTGCTGTTCTCCACCTGCCTCTGAACTGCAAACCTCTAGGCCAGCTCAGTGCCATCTCCTTGTAATTCCCCATCATTCTTTTCCATATGAATTTGTCTGACTTCTTCCCTCCTCTTCCTCTTCCTCCTGCCTCCCCCTACTCTTCTTCATCATTTCCTTCTTCTATCCTTCCTTTTGTTTTTAAGATCTTTCATCAAGTTGACGTGTGTCAGTGTTTTCCCTGCATGTATACATATGAACCATGTGTGCATCTGGGGGCCACAGAGATCAGAAGGGTGTCATTTTCCCAGGAAGTGGAGTTAGAGATGGTTGTCTGCTATCATGTGGGTGCTAGAAAATGAACCCAGATCCTCTTCAAGAGTAGCAAGTGCTCTTAACCACTGCACCATCTCTCCAGATCCCCTTTGCTTTGCTTTTTTGAGACAGGGTCTTGCTATATAGGCCAGGTTTGCATGGAATGTACTATATAGCTAAGACTGGCCTCAAATTTTTGGTGATCCTCCTGCTGCAGCATTCTAAGTCTTGTTGGTACTTTTCTTTTGCTGTTAGCATTTTTGGTCCCATGACACTGTATTGTCAGGTGGAGTCAATCATCTCTTGTTATGAAATGTGAACTTTTCCTTCTGTTGGAGTTAATGCACACCCAGGAGATTCATTGTTTGAATTCTCAGAAAGGAAAAGTAGGACCACAGATCATAGAATGCAGAGTAGCTGTCTTGATTTGTTGTGCTATTTTGCGTGTTTCTAAAGCTTTCATCTTTTTAATTCTACTTCAGGAAGCCTTTTTCTTTTTCTTTTGTTTGTTCTTTATCTCACACCAATTAATTCTAGGAAATAGTCATTTAGAAACCACAGAGTTGACATTAGAGAATCTGAGAGCCATGTCACCTACATGTAGAGACTTGAGAGCTAACTGTAAAGAAGAGGTACATTTTGGGTGATTATCAAGTTCCTTTGATGATATTGATGACTTACTTTTATTAATTCAGGTTTTTTTTCTCTCTCTGTCTCTCTCTGATGCAGGCTTTCCTCATGAAGCACATGCTGTCCTCAAACTTGCTGTATAGATGAGGGTGGCCTTGAGTTTTTCATTCTCCTATGTTCACTTCTCAAGTGCTACATTGTCAGGCATGGGCCACCACACCCAGTTCCCACAGCTATGGAGTTTAATCCTAGAGCTACCTGTCTTGCTTATTGTAATGATACAGATTTTTTTTTAAAGATTTATTTATTTATCATGTATACAATGTTCTGCCTGCATGTGTCCCTGCAGGCCAGAAGAGGGCACCAGATATCATTACAGGTGGTTGTGAGCTACCATGTGGTTGCTGGGAATTGAACTCAGGACCTCTGGGAGAGCAGTCGGTTCTCTTAACCACTGAGCCATCTCTCCAGCCCCAGATTTCTTTTTCTAATTATTTATTTTTCATTGGTTTATTTGTGTGTGTGTGTGTGTGTGTGTGTGTGTGTGTGTGTTTTCAATGTTTTTATGATGATGACAATGACTGCTGTGGAAATGGAAATGTGTCTGTACACACTCTGGATGCTATGTTTTCAGGGAACAGGAGTCAGTAATCTGCAGAAGCTCTTATTGCACTCAGTTCCTCACAGTGAATGTTTCTTGTGTCCACACAGATATGAATATGAGAAAACAATTAAACCTGCAAGCAACTTGTCCTCAAACAGCTTCTTGTGTTCAGGAAACAGAACCCAGACTTTAATGCCAACGCATGACCCAAAAGGTTGACCAATGCTTCTTATTGCTTTCTGCACACAGACTGGGCCACAGAATACACTTTTATGAAGGGCTTTGAATACGACACTGGGTTTAGTAGGGATGCAAGACAAATGGACAAACTTTATTTCCCTCTTTAGGAAAGGGAGTTGTCTAATAACATAGAATGCTCTGCCTCCTGAGTTTGAATATACTTATTAAGACTCCTTTGTTTCTTCAAGTGGGTGTTTTAAAAATGAGCCAAAGGTATCCACTGCAGCACCACTGCAGAATTAGTCCACAAGGGAAGATGACTTAGAAGGATGGATTTGGACACATGGTGAGATCTATGTGATTGGTCTAGTTTGGTTTTCTGTTGTTGCAATAAAACATTGACTAAAACCAAGTCAGGTAAGACAGAGTTTATCTAGCTTACAAATTGCAGTCCATCATATGGGAAGCCATGGCAGAAATCTGAGGTAGAGACCAAAGCAGAGTTCACCAATGAGTCTTGCATACTGGATTGGTTAGTAACCTCTTTTGTGCAGCATAGGCCATTCTGCCCAGGCCTGGCACTGCCCACAGTGGTCTATGCTGTCTTTCATCAGTTAACCAAGAAGGAAATGCCTCATAAACATTCATACCCACAGGCCAATCTGATGAAGGCAGGTCCTCAGTTGAGATACCCTCTTCTCAGGTCTGTCTAGACTATTGTCAAGTTAACAAATTATAACCATGACAGTGATTATGAAAATAGGAAATATAACCAGAAAGAAGCTTCCCTGGATATGTGCTGTGCACCTGTTCAGAATTCCTTGATTACCCAGGAATTTGCCTTTCAGTCTCCTTTTCCTTCTTTAACAGAGACATTACTTTGCAGTTCAACCAAACAGTTGTTTTCCCTTAGTTCCTAGGGTCCCTGGCACTTTGGTCCTGGCTCCTGCCCTTCATCTGCTATATTATTAACTTTTACATCATTATGATCAAAATCCCAAAGAACAACTCAAGTTAGGAAAGATTTGTCTTCACTCATTGTTTTAGCAGGTTCATGGTAACTTAGCTCCATGTTTATGGATAGAGTATCATGGTGACATGAGTGTTGACTGATTCTGTTCTTCACTTCTTTTTGGGCAGGAAGAATGGAAAAAAGACACAGGAAGTAGTGAGATATAGCCTCTCTGAACATGTCACCCCCATGACCAACTTCCTCCAATTAGACCTGCCTCCTACCTTTTAGTACTTATCAATACTGCCAGTATCATGACTTCATCAACATATTAGTTCTTTGATGATGTGAGAGCCATGGTGACCTGTCTCTGTACATGACTCACAGACACAGTCAGATTTTATGTAAAAGTACTTACTGTATGTATTAGTTATTTTCTTTGACCTTGAGAGAACACCATGAACAAGGGAATGTATACAAGGAAAAGTTTACTTGTGTTTATGGCTATACAGCAATGATTCTCAACCTTCTTTTTTTTTTACATCTTTCAAAATAATGTTAAATATTAATGAATTCAATTTCCCAATCAAGAGACACAGATTAACTAAATGAATTAAGAAACAAACTCCGTCTTTCTGCTGTCTACAGCAAACTCAGTTTACCTTCAAATATTCATGACATCTTAAAGTAAACAGGTAAAGATTAGGGTATTCCCCCCTCCCAACTCTTCAGATCCTCTTCACCTCTCTACCTACCCAATTTTATGTTCTCTCCTTCTCAAATTAAAAAAAAAAGAAAATCAAAATAAGCAAACAAAGAAAATCAATAAAACAGAAAAATGGCCAAAATAAAACTAAACCAAATAAAAGCACACACCAGAAAAACATGGAGTTCATTTTGTGCTGACTCCTGGGCGTGGGACTTTCCCTGAAGTCTGGCTGTCATTCTGTTGTCATGCCACTTGAGGGACTAATTTTCCCTTTGTCAGAAGATATCAATTGAAAATAGCTTCTTGCTTAGGGGTAGGGATTTGAGTCCACTTGGTCTTTGTAGTTCTGGGATTTTGTGTGGTTTGAATCTTTCAGGTCCTGTGCATGCTGTCACAGGCTCTGTAGCTCATCTGAGGTTCAGTCCTGTTGTGTCTGGAAGAGGCTTTCTCTCTGGAACCATCCACCACCTCCGGCCCTTATAATTTTTCTATATCCTCTTGTGGATAGATCCTTGAGTCCTGAGGGGAGGGGTTTGACAAAGACATCCCTTTCAGGATTGAGTGCTCCAATGCCTCTCACACATTGTGCACTGTCTAGTTGTAGTTCTCTGTGCCATTTCTCACCCACTGCAAGAAGAAGCTTCCCTGAGAAGGGTTGATCTATGGTTACATCAATGTCCTTAGGAGTCATTTTATTGCATATTCCTTTAGCAGAAAAGTACTAGTAGGTTTTTCTCTTAGACCCATGACCTATCTAATCCCAGATTCTTGGACCCTTTAGCAATTCCATCTCATAGACTGGGCCTTAAACCCAGACAAAAGTGGTTGGTTAATCTCATAACTTTTATGCCACGATTGCACGAGTATATCATGTAGGCAGGTTATTCATGTTGCCGGGGTTGTAGCTGTGAGATATTGATGAAATAACTTCTCCTCCACTGCTGTGCCTCTGGTCCAAAAGGAAAGTCGGGGGCAGGGGCAGGATGGGAGCTGGGGGCCAGTCTCTAAGTCTCAGGAAGTGGCTGGGGTCTCAGGCAGATGGGCGTGGGGGCAGGGCATGGAGATTGCATGGACTGCCAGGGGCTTGCAGAAGGGGATCCTACCTGGTGGGGCTAGAAGGGGACCTGCCCGGTGGCCAGAACCTGGGGCCAAGTTGGGCAGGTCTTCCCAGGAGTGGCTGGTGCCCAGGGATCGATTCTCAACCTTCTTAATGCTGTGATCATATAATATAGTTCCTTATGTTGTTGTGATCCCAACCATAAAATTATTTTTGTTGCTAATTCATAACTGTAACTTTGCTATGGATATGAATGATAATATAAATATATGCTATTTCAGTGAGTCTTCCAGATGACTCATAGTTCTAGAAGGATGAGAATTCATTAAGGCAGAGAGAAAGGCAGCAGGAGCAGGAAATGAGGAGCTCACACACACCTCAACTATAAGCGTAAGGCAGAGAGAGCAAAGTCGAAGTAGAGTGAGGTTTTAAGCTCCTGAAGCTCATCTCCAGTGACAGTCTTGCTCCTCCTCCTCAAATAGCACCACCAACTGGGACTAAGCATTTAATACTGGAGCCTCTGGGGCATATTTCCATTCATAGCTGCACATCATTCTTACAGGGGCCCTGATTGGTTTCTAGCACTGACATTAGGTTGCTCACAAACCCCTGTCATTCCAGTCCTGGGGAATTAGGTGCCCTCTTATGGCCCTCTTAGGCACCTACACACATAAGTTGCACATATGCACATGAAGGTACACACATTTACATGTACATTTTTAAGAAATATTAAAATTGTTGACTTTTCAGTGGACCTGTGCAGATCTGCTGTACCTGGGATCAGGATTTGAGAACCTAGAAGAATGGGGGCAGATACAGTCTAATGCTGAGACAACCTTGCTTCAGTTTCAGTGGACTTTATACATGAATGAAACAATGAAAGCAATGGTCTCAAGAGGGTCGTTTGATCAGAAACACATGTAAATAAACATCAGTAAGCACATACTAAATGTTAACAGAGCAGCCCTTTCCAAAACTTTCTCAGGACAGGCCAATTTAAACACAATTGCCTGGCACAGACTGTAGATTATATCTGGGAAAGCATGAAAGCAAGGAAGAAGGGAATATCCAGATTCAAGGCACACTGACCAGGTTGGCTTCTATAGCTGTGTTCTCTCTTCCAACAAGAATCTTCATAACTTATGAATTGAATGTAGTTGTTTGTCACAGGACCACAAAATAATGTCTATGAACAATCCGGGGAACGAAATGCATTTGAGTAAAGGGCCCTCTGCCTTTTTACCTGGAGCCTCTCTCACAGTTCCCCAGGGTATTGTTCACCATGCATCACTCTTTTGGTTATGTGCTTATAAAAATCACAGATGCTAAAGGACCCAACACGTCACATGGACACTTAGTATGGAGCTGTCTCAACAGAATCACCTCAGGCCAGAACATCTCTATTTTATGGTGGATCCATGCCACAGAAATTGTAGCAGTCTTCAAGGCTTGGACTGTCACTGTTCTCAGGGAATCTGTGGAGATCAAAATAACTTGAGCATCAAAGAGCAGCCATCTCTGAATCTCTGAGCCACAGAAACCCTCCAAGCAAAGCAATCAGAATCAGTGGCCTCAATGGTAGCCTGTTCTCATCTCCTGCATTGACCTTTGAAAAACTTCTGCTTGTGCCCATTGTGTTATGGTGGATAAGTTAAAATCTCCCATGTGCAGAGGCCCAGCAAAGCACTCAATTCTTCCAGTGTCTGATGCTTTCAGTTCTGCATTAGAGGAGGGTTTATAGTCTCCCTGTGATCTGTAGACAGAAATCAGCATGTTCATCAAAGATAAGAATCTAAGTACATAGAGATGGAAACTGATTTTACTGAACAAGGAGTTAGTAAGAGTTAGACTGCATGACATAGTCATGCTTAGGAAATTTATGGAAATTTAGGCCCTGTCCAATCTACAGTTCAGGGTCCATTGTCCTGCACATCCCTAAAAACACAATGCCAAGATTCCCTAGGGAGTGGAAGTTTATTTAGCTTAGAAAAAATTTGGGAGGTGCATGCAAACCTTCAAAGATTTCTCCTTTTGCCTTTCAATTCTCTTTCGCCCTGTTTGTTTTATTCCGTTGATCACCTACCACTCCAACTGTCTGAATATTTAATTGATAGTAAATGATGGAGTCTATTGAAAAACACAGTTGCTATTCATTTAAACTTTTCAGTTTTTACAGAATAATTGAGACTGTAGAGAATTCCAACTTCTGTCTGTGTTGTGTAGGTACATAATGAATTGTTAGAGATACACACATGTGCTAGTTTTCCTTCCTCAAAGTTATGGAGGATACAGGCAGTGCCCATATTAACTCACTGGGTCCACTGGTTGCTGGAAAATTAAGTCCCTGGAGGTGAGGGGAAGACCTTGGTTGTACTGTTTGCCTATTTTATGATGTAGATTCTCACATACAATGTATTGTTACTGAACACTGACTTGGGAAATGGTGTCTATCTGTAGAGTCATCTCTCCCACCCAGTGGGAATTGGCTCCAGCATAGCACTTACACTCCATTGTAAAGTATTCTTTCAAATATGCAGTAGGGGTGATTCACAGACAGCATTGTTATGGAATATTATTTTAACTAGGAAAAGATGTGTTACATTTGTTTATGCTGCGGAATATTACTTTACCTATGTGAAGGTCTGTTACATTTGTTTTTGCTGCATTTGTTTAATTATATAAAGTTGTGTTGCATTTGTTTCACCTTGCCTGCTTAAGGTGCCTGATTGGTCTAATAAAAAGCTGAACAGCCAATAGCTAGGGAGGAAAGGGATAGGTGGGTCTGGCGGGTAGTGGGATTAAGTAGAAGGAGAAATCTAGGTTTGAAGAGAAGAAGGAGAAAAGAACAAGGAAGAAAGAGAGGGACACACCTGAGACCAGAAGCCAGATATCGACCAGCTAGCCATACACTTGAGGAAGCAGGGAAGTAAGACATACATACATACATACATACATACATACATACATACATACATACATAATGAAAGAAAGAGAGGGAGAGAGAAAGAAAGAAAGACAAAATCCCTGAGGTAAAAGGTAGAGAAAGAGAAACAGGTTAATTTAAGCTAAAGGGAGCTAGGCCAAGAATTCATAACTAATAAGAAGTCTCTGTGTCATGATTTGGGAACTTGTTGGTGGCCCAAAAAAGAGAGCCTCCTAAACAGCACAGTAACATAAGTCATTGAATGATTATCATGGGCTTGTGACCTGAGAAGTGATTACAGAAAAATTTGAATTAACTTTCAAAATGCTCATGCAGTTTTCTGTTTTAATGCAGAGTGCATAAAAGAAATTAAATCCTCAATGTGGGTATACGTAATGGTAGGAAATGTTATCCGTGGAACTGGTGAAACTCCTATCATGCCATTGGGTATTTCCTACATAGAAGATTTTGCCAAATCAGAAAACTCCCCTTTATACATTGGTAAGTTTGAAAATCAGACTTGGGATAGTTATTAGCATAGCAAATACTGGGAGGTAAATATCAGTTATTGATTTGGACACATTGTGGTTTCAGAACCATGAGCAGAGTGCTATAGAAACATTGGTTATAAGATTATTCAATGGGGCAATTAAATTGTAGCTCTAGATAGTGTTTGACTCATCACTACAGCTTTCACAATAAATTTTTTTCTTTTAAATTTTATTTTATTTTGGGGGGAAGATTGCAAATGCAGAGAGTAGATACAAAGGGATGGGAAGGTGAATGGGGTATGGATGCATACTATAAAATGCACAAAGAATCAATAAAAAGTGAAAAATACAATAATTATGGTAAAGTAAGATACATAATTATTGAATCTTCCATTTAGTATGTAAATAGCTTAATTTAATAAATAAATAGCTATATAACTACATAAATATTATATATATAAATAAATAATCAACTAACTGAAAAACAAATAAGAAATTAGGAATGCATTTTCATGAGTCCCTCTATGGCTTAAGAGATATAGAAGCCACATGTAAAAACAGAATTATCTATGCTAGACAATAAGTTAAATTAAGAATAAATGAAGTTGCCTTGGGAAGACATATATTTACCTTGACTCCATAGGTCCACACAGTGGGGGATTCTTCTACTTAGTGTGTAGAGTGAGAGGAAGAAAAGTCAAACAATATTTCCATGGGAAGAAAGTGAACAGTAAACATATAGTTTGGAGAGCTGTTAGGAGGAAGCAGATGATGAAGAGCTGGCCAACAAAGTCAAGTACATTAGGAGAATAAAGATCAAAACTGGAAAAAGTGGTCTATGATGGAGGTCAGTTGTGCCAAGAGAGTATCTTAGACTCAGGAAGATCTGAGCAGAGTGAGAGGGGAGGAGTCAAGGCAGACAGTGCAGGGCAGGAATGAACAGTGGAGCTGGAAATCTTGCAGGAATCATTGGATAGAGGGCATCAAACAGTGTGGAGTGTTAGAGCAAGGAAGACAGAAGGGTTTGGTATTGAGAAGTCAGGCACATGGAGGACTAACCCATAGAACCACAGGCAAGGAGGAAAAAACAAAATTTAAAGTAAAGAGAAGGCAGAAGTTGAAGTTGTTTGTATCTGTTTTTTCTGTGAGTAGGGATGGCTCAGCTGAGATTCTGAACTCAGATAAATTGGGAGATGCTAGTGGTGGTTCAAAGAAGTCAGGTGATGTTGGAAGGGACCAAGGAAATGAAAACAATAATAAGATAAGAATGAAGACCAGAGTGGATGGGGAAGTGAGTAGATGGGAGTTTGGGTGGAGGAAATAGGAGGAATGGAGGGAGGGGAAATTATTTTTGGCATGTAAAATAAATGAAAAAAATGTAAAAAAGAAAGAGGACCAGGATAGCATCCAAGAGAAGTGCTGTTATGAGGACACATTCTCTCTTTGGAAGGAAGTTTCAAGAGAAGAGCTTTGATGAAGACACATCATAGGAAATTCATCACAGCTCACACTGCTTGTGAAACTGTGCTAGTTTCATTCCTGTTGCTGTGAGAAATTGCAACTTTGGAGAGTAAGGGGTTCATTTGACTTACAGTTCACTACAACAGAGAAGTCACAGTAGCTGGAGCTTGAAGCAGCCGGCCACACCCACAAGAGCAGAGGGAGTGAATTGTGCATGCATATGTCTTTGCTTGCATGGTTGTGCTCAGCTCTTTTCCCACTCTCACATAGCTGATGACACCCTGACTAGGGAATGGTGCTGCCCACAGTGGGATGCTTCATCTTATATCAATTAACTTAAGACAGTTTCCTGATGACATGCCACAGGTAAACCCTTGTAGACAATACTTCATTAAGACTCTACTCCCAGGTAATTCAACATTGTGTCAAGGTGAAAATTATAGCTAACTATCGGAGTCCCTTTAAAATCAGGGGCATGGAAGCATCAACATGACCTTGCTCACATCATGGCTTGATGGGTCTGCCTGTGACAGTACAGTCTTTGCCTTCAACTCAGCATAAAAGAGAATTTGGAATGTTGCTTTTAGTAATAAAGCTTCTGTGACACTCAGATTTCATTCACTTTAATAAATATGTGAGATAATGATTTATGAAGAGAAAGGATTCATTTGGATCATAGCTTTGGAAGTTCTGGTCTATGTCACTGGAATGTGTGGTGTGGAGGTCTGCCATGAGGCAGCTGACTATGGTGGAAGGATGGGTAGAATAAAACATCAATCTTGAGACTGGGAAGCAAAACAGAATGAGTAATGAGCTATGGTTCTACTTCAGATGACTTGAACATTCACCACCATGCCCTGCATCTGAGGGTTCCTTCAGACTCTAGTGGTAATCCACAGTAATTCACATTGAAACAATGGTACTTTCTCAATATTTAAAGAAATAAATATATGTATATATAAAATACATTCAAAACTTAATTTCTTTATATGTTTAATATAAAAAATATCTGAGGTAATGGGGAGTGTAGCTAAGTTCTAGAGCACTTGTCTAGACTATTGGATTTGATACCTAGCTTTGCAAAGGAAGGAAAAGAAATAAAATTAAAAACAATTTAATCTCAAGGCTTTTTTGTGTGGGTGCAAGCATATTAATTGTGTGGTTATGCAACTTCCTGTCTTTTCTTTCTTCCAGGGATTTTAAAAATTGGAGTGGTCATTGGTCCCTTGATTGGACTTATGTTGGCAACCTTCTGTGCAAATATTTATGTGGACTCTTGGTCTGTGAATACAGGTAACACAATACATTTTATTTATATAGGCCAGGCCCTAGAGTGTGGGAGAATGCTCCAGAAGACTATGCTACTGCCTCCTTTGATCTTTAGTTTACAAATTATCACTGCTTATAGATTGCCAACCCAAGAGGAACAGAGACAAGGGTAAAAATGTTACCTTTCTGATGAAAAATCCACCATTCTTCCAGTGCATTTCAGCCATACCTTTGGTCTCAAAAATATTTACTCACATAAAGTTTTCTCAATGAGTCAGTCACTGTGGATAACAAAATAGATCTTTCTGTTATGTGATAAGCACCATTTTGTAAAGTTTTCACAGGATAAACAGAAATGTAAGATGAATTGCTAAATGGTCTTATTACTAAAAAACTCAGAGCCAGATATTGGGGTGAAAACTAATAGATCAGAGGAATAGTACAAGCCACAGATAACCTTACCTTGTCAACTAACTCCTCAGCCTCCAGAGAGAACTAGTTCTTGTATAACTTTCTGTGCTGTGCCTACTCATTTCCTGTCTCTGCTCAGCTATATTACTTCTTTTTTCTGCCCAGCTATATCACTTCCTGTCTGTCTAAACAGACCTCCAGATCTATATAGTTAACAAGCTTTTGGAGTGCGCCATCATACCTGGCTCTGTTCCCAATGTATCCTTGAATTCATAGAGGTCCAGATGAATCTCTGCCTCCCAAATGCTAGGATTAGAGGCGTGTGCTACCTCTGCATGATCTCTATGTTTAATATAGTGGTTGGCTTTTTCCTCTGATCCCCAGATAAGCTTTATCTGGGTGCACAAATAAAATATCACTACATTTCCCCTGTTTTGTCTAAAATAAAAAGTTATAACTAATATAAGAAAGACTATATACAAAACTACATACAATATATACAGCAAAAAACACATCAACAATGTCTAGTCCATTTGCATTTGACAAATTTAGCGAAAATATTCCATTATCTATCCTATTTTGGAGGTTCCAAAATGTACCTAATTCACTTTCTATCCTAACTTGTATTATCAACTGAACACAATCTTTTAATGTCTTTCAAACTTATACACTTTACACCTCTTTAGTGCATTTTTTCCTGAAATTGTTAACAAGGAAAACTATATGTATCTAATCTTCAATTCCCTCAGAGACCCTAGAAGGAAATAATATTATCTAGTTAAACAGGAAGTACAAATACACGACTTCCAAACAATGTGAAAAATGACAGAAATAGATAGCTGCCTGGACAGTCACTCAAGAAATCTGCAATGTTGGGATACCCATCTTTAGCCTATAAGATATCGGATAGAGTCATGTGTGAGGAAGGATTTTCTAAAGAGCTGTCCTACCTTTTCTTAGCAAGGATTGGTGGTTTTTTCTTTTGTGTCCTGTTTGTCCATTTTGGACAGCATACTGTCAACAGTTGATTCCAGGGCACTTTCTTGCCCAGTGGCTAACTTTTGACACAATGAAAGTAAAATGCATAAGGAGTTTTTTTCAATGCCCATCATCTTCTCTGAAGTAGATTGGTGCTGTCAGAAGCAGACATGTCTCATTGTCATTTAAAAAAAGGAAAAATCTGTTATTAAAACATCTTAAAAGCCATATTCTGTAGATCTCTGAAATGTTTGATGATGAACTGTATACCTAAAATAAATTTATCGTTGATCCTGAAAACATACCTAATATGATTACAAGTTTGATTGTAATGACTAACTACTAATCTGCATTTCTTTATATCCTAATTAGTTGGTAATAATAACTTTCAAAGACTTGAAAATTGCATTACATTGTTAAATAAACTATATAGATACAATACCTTGAACAAGAGTAGAAATATATGTACAGTATTTTCTAACAAAATTAATCTCAAATTTGTATCAATATACATAATTTGTATATAATATACAAAAATCCAATTCAATGCAAAATATTTAAAAATAGTTGCCTTTTAAAAGTAGATTCAATAATCTATCTTATCATATCATATCTCTATAAATCAATCTCAAATTTGTAGCAATATACATAATTTGTATATATATATATATAAAGAATCCATTCCAATGTAAAATATTTAAAACTAGTAGTTGCTTTTTAAAAGTAGATTCAATAATCTACCTTTTTAATCTCATTATATATCCATATTCCCTCTTTTTTCTTTTCAGAGTAGATTCAATAATCTACCCTTTATCCATCATTTCTATATCTTTTTTTTCAGAGCAGATGCAATAATCTACCTTTTATCTAAATCCTCTTTTTTCCTTTTCTTTCTTTTTGTTTTTTTTTTCAAACAGGAACCTTAAATCTAATCTCCTTTGTTTAGCCTTTTTCCTGATCATTCACAAAACAACTTGTAACCAACTATCCTAAATAATTAATTAATAATAATTAAAATTACTTCCTGCAGTCTGGGGAAAGGGTATCTTTAGGGAATCCTGAAAAGAAAATTTTTGGGTTAATTGCCAAGTCCTGGGAGAGGTAGCTGTATCATTTTTTTTTTTTTGTCCAGTGTCTGCACAATGCGAAAATACAGGGTTTGTCTCAAGTCCTTGCTCAAGTAGTCTATGAGGCTGGATCATTTCAGCTAGACAACTCAAAATTGTCCTGAGCAGTTTGTAGTCCAAAGGCGATCTTTGGGTGTGTTTGTCAGCTAGTGGTATTACTATCATCTTGATGGAATCAGCATTGTGGGACCCTATCATCTTTTTGGAGACTTCAGATTTGCTGTTAGACATGGTCATGATTCCCTGAAGAAAACTGATGGAGACTCAAACACAAAAACATGTACAGGCAGCTTAATGAAGCCCTTTTTCCTAAATCAGTTAGAACTCTATATGATTGTTAATATCATGACAAAATTTAAAATATATTTAAATCTTATAAATTTTGATATAAAATTCATACTTTAAGAAAAGTTTTAAAGAGTCAAACTAGTACCAAGGAATTATAAGATTAGTGGCAATAGAATAGTCCCTTAATTTTTATTTTTCTTCTTTCCCATATCAGATGGCTCTTCTGACACAATACAGAGATTTTACATTTTCTTTTAACAAGCATGCTTGGATTTAGAGGAGAGAGCCATGCTCCAACTCCAAAGACAGCTTTAATTTTTAATTGAACTGGGACTACATAAAGACTATTTGGGTTATGTATCTGTAAAGAACAGCAGAAACAAACATTTAGGAAGATTTATGAAATTTTATATGTGATATACCAATAGACCAATTTACTCTTTTTCTTGGGACATTTTGTCTGGATGATTTGTCCTTTTTCTTCAGATGTCTCATTTGTCCAGTGTTCTTCAGATTCTTCAGCCTTCATTTTCCTGAAAGACAAGAACAAAACCCTTCCCCAATGGTAACTTTGGGGAGTTTCCCTTTTGGCAAGTTATATCTGATTAAATGATAAGCATTTGTTAGTTGTATGAGTTAATTTAAATTGAATGGTTATGCTGGTTGATGAATTATTACCTCTTCTAAGTAAGAGGTCTCTCTTGTTCAAATCAAACCTTTATCAATTTTGATGGTATCCATAGCCTTTCCTCTCTTTTAGAAACAATAACAAAACTTCATCCCCAATGTAATACATATCCTGGTTTCCATTCTGAGGTCAGCACATCTTTAAAGTATATAGGCTGATTTAATTCTGTAGATTTTTCTGCTATCCAGTGTCTCTCCACAGCTATTGTTACTTCCTTATTAGCATTGAGAAAATTCAAAGTTAATAGAGCATTATGTAATCTATTTCTGGGAGTTGTTGCTACACCTTTCTGTTTATTTAGCATATCCTTTAGACTAATTTTTGATCTTTCTATAATTACTTGGCCTGTAAGATTATGTAGTATACCTGTAATATGCTTTATATTGTAATAAATAAAAAACTGTTTCATTTTAACAGAGACATATGTTGGAGCATTGTCAGTTTTAATTTGTGCAGGTATACCCATGATGGCCATAATGTCTAGCAAATGTATGATTATAGAATCAGCTTTTTCAGAACTCAGAGCAATTGCCGATTGAAATCCTGTATAAGTATCAATAGTGTGTTGTACATATTTCAATTTTCTAAATTCTACAAAATGAAACACATCCATCTGCCAGATTTTATTCCTCTGAGTACCCCTTGGGTTACATTATGCTGATGGTGGAGTTTTATAGTAAAAAGAACAAGTAGGACATTTCCTCACAATTTCCTTGGCTTGTTGCCAGGTTATGGAAAATCATTTTTAAACCCTTACTATTGATATGATGTTTTTTATGAAATTCTGAGACTTCCAGAATATTTCCTATCAGTAGTTTATCAATCTCATCATTACCTTGTGCTAGATGGCCTGGCAGATCCATATGGGATTATATGAGTTATATATAAGGGATGCTTCCTATTCCTGATTATATCTTGTAACTGAATAGTGAAGTAATTCTGACTCATCAGGGATAAATTCTACAGTCTCAATATGTAATACCACTCTTTCAGCATACTGAGAGTCAGTTACTATGTTGAGAGGTTCTGAAAAATCCATTAATACCAAAAGAATAGCATATAATTCTGATTTTTGAACCAAATTATAAGGACTTTGAACCACTTTACTTAAATTTTCTGCTTTGTAACCTGCCTTTCCTTGTTTGTTTGCATTGCATAAAACAGATGTTGCTGTTTCCCATACAATGTGAGGCAGGATCCAATTAGCTCTCTTTATAAGTTTAATTCTATTGCTTTTGGGATATTTGCTGTTAATTTCTCCCAAAAAATTACTGCAAGCTCTTTGCCAAGGTTCACTTTCTGTCCATAATTTTTCAATGTCCTCCTTAGTTAATGGTACTACAATTTCTGCTGTGTCTATTCCTGCTAATTAATAAAGTTTCAATTTTCCTTTTAAATTAAACCACTCAGAGATATTTTTCACATAAGATTTTAATTTTTACTCTGTTTGTTTGGTAAAAATATCCATTCCAATATAATATCTTCCCTCTACATTAAAATTCCTGTAGGAGAATACTTAGAGGGTAAAATAACCAGGGTGCAATCAAGCTTTCGATCCACACAATCCACATGATCCACATGTACATCCTGTATTTTCTTTTCTACCAAAGCCAATTCTCTCTCAGCTTCAGCTGATAATTCTCTTGGACTATTTAAGTCCTTATCACCTTCTAAGGTTTTGAACAAAATGCTTAGCTCATCATTTTTTACCCAAACAGTGGTTGGTAGATAGGAAATATCTCTGAATAATCTTTGGAATTCGTTAAGAATCTGTAATCAATCTCTCCTAATTTGCACTTTTGGGGATCTAATTTTTTGTAGATTTGTTTTATATCCTTAATAATTAATAGAATCTCTTCTTTGTATCTTTTCAGGAGCAAGTTTTAATCCCCAACAAGGCAAAAATTTTCTTTACTTCTTTAAACATTTTCTGCATTTGAATCAACTAATAAAGATCATCCATGTAATGATAAATTATAGATTTAGGAAATTGTTTATGTATTCTTCCAATGGCTGTTGTACTAAATATTGGCACAGGGTTGGGCTCTTAAACATTCCCTGTGGGAGAACCCTCCATTGATATATCTTAACTGGTTGAGAATAGGTAGGCACTGTCTTTTTCTTGTAAGGGTATTTAGAACAAACAGTTTTTTAAATTGATAACTATAAGAGGCCATCCTTTAGGTAACAGAATACACAAAGGAATTCCAGATTGTGGCAAGCCCATTGGTTGAAATGTCTTGTTAATTGCTCTTTGGTCTGTTATCATTCACCACTACCAGATTTTTTAAAATAACAAATACAGAAGAATTCCAAGGGCTGGTTGGTTCTTCAATTTGCTGAACCTTTAATTGTTCTTGTACCAGCTGTTCTAAGGCCTGTAGTTTCTCTCTTGGTAAAGGCCATTGCTGAACCCATACAGGCTTGTCTGTTAACCATTTTAAAGGTAGAGCTGTTGGTGTCTTTGAAAGATGAGCAGTTGTGCCCTGTTCTTATACAATCTGGATGGCTGGTGACCACTCTTTAGAATAATACCTCCTAATATTTTTTTCTCAGAAACAAGTGTTAGTTCATGATTTGTTTCTGAGGTTGGAGGAATGTTAATCTGAGTATTTCATTGTTGTAATAGATCACAGCCCCATAAATTCAGAGTTATGTTAGTCACATATGGCTTTAATTTTTCTCTCTGTCCTTCTGGCCCTATACATTCGACTCTTCTTTTGCTCTGTTTTACTTGAGATAATGTTCCAATCCCTAAAAACTGAACATTTATCTCTTGAAGAAGCAAATTTGGATGCCAAGATTCTGGTGCAATTATTATTATGTCTGCACCTATGTCTACAACACCTTCAATGAGAACATCATTTATTCATATTTTTTAATTTCAGTCTTTGTTCATTTATAGAAGTTTGTCAAAAAATTTGCTTTATGGTTTCTCCTAAATTTTTTGTTCTCTCTTCTATAGCTGTTCTATCACTTTGAGCAATATCCTTTTTTACAGTTGGCATTTAGTTATTTAATTGCTCTGGGAAAGGATTTCTTCTACAATGGTAGGAAAGAACTGAACTGAATTTGTTCAGTTTGCAAGAAGCTCCTCAGGTAGTTTCCCAGTGGCAAAGGCAAAGGATTACCTTGTCTGTCCCTTGTTGATCTACATTTACTAGAACAATATTTATGTTTACCACACCTATTGCATAATCCAGAAGTGAGGGGAATTCTGTTGCCATTGTTCCTTGAAGAAACATTGTTTCTAGGAACCTCCTGTTTACAGTCCATTTTTAGGTGACCTTGATTACCACAATTAAAGCATCTCACATTATTATTTTTCTTTAATCCTCTGGAAATCACCTCTCCTATCCAAGTATCATCACGGTCATGAGATTCAATATTAGTTGTATCTTGGTTCCATTTCTCCAAGGGTACTGGTCTTGCCTTTAATGGCCTAATTGTCCTTTTGCATTCTCAAAAGCCAGAGATTCCATTATTATCTGTCTAGCTTCTGAATTTGGTATCATTCTATTTATTGCTGAAGACAACCTTTGTAAGATATCTATGAAGGTTTTGTTAGGGCCCTGCATAACTTTTGTAAATGACTCAATTTTCTTTCCCATTTCTTCAATTCTGTCCCAAGCATTCAGAGCTGCCATTTGGCATAGAATTAGGGAATGGTCACCATATAAAGATTGTTTTTATTTATCAACATAATCACCTTCTCCAAGAAGTCAGTGTTGGAAAATTTCCATACCTCTTGCCCTACATTGTTCTTTTATAGTCTTAGCCTCCTCTTTCCCCCAGGTTCTTCATTATAACTGTGGACCAGCCTCTAGGACAGCTGTAACAAAATCTTTCCAGTCCAGAGGAATAATTTTATTATAATTTGACTACGAGTTGAACATCTTCTTTACAAATGGAGAATGGATACCATATGAGACTATAGCTTCTTTAAATCTCCTCAAATCTAACATTTACACAGTTGTCCAGTTAGCACATACACAGCCTTGAGCATTTGGTAGTTCCTGTAAGGTTACCACATAGATTAAGGTTGGCTGTTTGAAATCTTAGGCTGTTTCTCTGTAACCATAAATTTCAATGCAGAGATAGGTTCACCTTTAAATTCTTCTTTCTGGACCTGAATATCTCTATGATCTGTTGTTACAAGTTTTTCTAAAACTTTTATCTTGGACTCAAACTAATCAATCATTCTAATGATAAACCAAAAATGACCAAACAAATAATATTTATAATTAACATTATGTAAATCCCATCTACATTAATTATCCTCTTATTTAATTGTTCCATTTTCAGACCACCCAATGAGTTATTAATTAGAGACCAAATTCCCTCTATTGTAAAAATATTTCCCATGTTTTTAATGGGGGAAAATTTTCCTTTTAACTAATTTTTCTCTTAAAGATATCTTTATTTACTCACCAAGTTTACCAAACGCATAGAACAGTAGAAGTCCAATGGAGTTTCAAGTCAGCTACCTAGTGTGGTATCAGTCTGATATGGGGATCCAGAGAGAGCCCAAAACCCACCAGGAGAGAAGAAGCCAAAGAGAATCCAGCCCATGTGGTGTGAAGACTCTGGCTATGTGCAGCTCAGGCTTGAGCTGGGTCCTGTAGGACCACAGGCAAGCTGCTTTTTCGTGAATTTGTGCCACAAACGTTGGGGAACCAGATGTAACACAATTGCTAAATGGTCCTATTAATAAAAAACCTGGAGCCAGATACTGGAGTGAAAACTGAGAGATCAGAGGAATAAGACAAGCCATAGCCAACCTTACCTTATCAACTCTTCAGCCTCTAGAAAGAGCTATTTCCTATATACTCATCCCTATATCCTTTTTGTGCCCTGCCATCTTCCTCTCTCTGCCCAGCTACACCACTTCCTCTTTCTGCCCAGCTCTATCACTTCCTGTCTGTATGTACAGACCTCCAGACCTCTATGGTTAACTAGTGCTGAGAATTAGAGGCTTGTGCCACTGTGCCTGCCTCTATTCCCAGTGTGGAATTAAAATCACAGAAATCTGGATGAATCTCTGCCCCCTGAATGCTAGGATTAAATGTGTGTGCTACCACTGCCTAATCTCTATGTTTAATATAGTAGCTGTTTTTTCCCCTCTGATCCCCAGATAAACTTTACTGGGGTATAAAAGTAAAATATCACTACACAGAAATGCTCATTTACTACTGAAAAAATGCATCTCCTCTACTGTTAGATAAAATTAGTTAATTTTCTTAATACACAAAACAAAAAATAATTGGATACCATGTGATATTTTATTTTATTATCTATCTATCTATCTATCTATCTATCTATCTATCTATCTATCTATCATCTATCTATCATCTATCTATCTATTTGTCTATCTATCATCTATCTATCTACATACGTGTGTGGTGGTATTGTGTTCCCCAAAATATTGTGTACTCTAATAAATTTATCTGGGGTCAGAGAACAGACAGCCACTAGATACAAAGGCTAGAAAATGGTGGCACTCACACTCCAGAGATAGAAATCCCTCTGGATCTCTGTGAGTTCAAGGCCACATTGGAAATAGCCAAGCATGGTGACACACTCCTTTAATCCCAGAAAGCCAACCTTTAATCCCAGGGAGTAGTGGTAGAAAGCAGAAAGATATATAAGGCGTGAGAACCAGAAACTAGAAGCATTTGGCTGGTTCAGCATTTGGCTGGTTAAGCATGTGGCTGGTTAAGAATTCAGGCTTTTGAGCAGTAATTCAGCTGAGACCCATTCCGGATGAGGACTCAGAGGCCTCCAGTCTGAGGAGACAAGACCAGCTGAGGATCCGGCGAGGTGAGATAGCTGTGGCTTGTTCTGTCTCTCTGATCTACCAGCATGGACCCCAATAACTCACCTCAGGTTTGATTTTATTAATAAGAACTTTTAAGATTCCTGCTACATACGTGTGTGCGCGCGCGCATGCACGCATTGTTTGTATGTGTGCTTGCTGAGGTCAGAAGAAGATTTCAAATTACTTAAAATCAGAATTACAGACAATTGTAAGATTCAATGTGGGTGCTGGGATTAGAACTCAGGCTCAGGGCCTATGCAAGATCATCAATAAGTCTTAGCCACTGAACTGTCTCTCTAGCCCCTCCCTCTCCTTCTGTGATGTTTTGAGATATGACCACATCAGGTTAAAGCCAGTTCATTAGATATGCCTCAAATCTTTTTCCTATCTTTTGGACATGAAGTTTTAACCTTTTACACTATGTAGCACCCCAGAACCTTTCTTCTTACTTAATTACAGCTTCACCCAATTGTTCAAGGGCAGACACTTTTTCTAAAGCTTTGAACTAGCCAAGTCAGATGGCAGTCCTTGTAATCCTAACATTTAGGAAGCAGAGGCAGAGGATCAGAAGTTCAAGGACCTAATGGGTGACAAGTTTACAATAATATACAAATTTTGTGTTTAGATGGCTTAGGATCCTTAATAATTTTCTGCAGTTTACACAGGAAAGAATGGTGCAAGCTAATAAAATGTCTGTATTTCTCCACAGATGACCTGACCATAACGCCCACTGACACACGCTGGGTCGGTGCTTGGTGGGTCGGCTTTTTGATCTGTGCTGGAGTGAATGTCCTGACCAGCATCCCCTTTTTCTTTTTTCCCAAAACACTCCCAAAGGAAGGACAAGAGGATAATGTGGATGTGACTAAAAGTGACAAAGAAGTGAAACACCGAGGAAAAGCCAAGGAGGAAAAACATGGAATCACTAAAGGCAAAAGGAAAACTTTAAACCCTGTATTTGGTTTAGATGGGTCTGCAGTTTGTGGAGTGTTTGTCATGCTGTGCTGAGTTAAGATAGTTTGTCACTAATGGTCCCTACTCAGATGTGTTAAACTCCTTCCAAAGTTACCACTTGGGAGCAACTGACATGATTTGTAACCTGCTTATTTTAGATTAGACTCTATGAAAAGTTCAAGTTGATCTGAAAATTCAATAAGCAAATATAATTTTCCCATTTTGAAAAGCCTATTTTGCACAAAATATTAGTCTAAGTTAAAAAACATCAATAATCAGAAATTCAGCTAAAGATAATGGGAGAGAAATATTCGTACTAAGGTAGCAGTGTAGTTTGATAATAAAAATGTCTTTTTAGCAATAAGCATCCTTGAAATTAAGGCTGGAAGAGAAAACTTAAGAGGTGATATAATCCTCTGTATTTGAAGGTGTGTGATATTTTCCAGGAGAACTGTTCCCTAAGAAATAGACTGTTGTGAAACAAGCAGGAATGTTATTAACCTAAGATGCAGAGTAGTAACGCTCCTGTAGAGACTAAGGTGGGAAGCTGAGTGTTCAAGGCTGTCCATTCTTAAACCTTGGCACTAATTTCACAGTTGTGTGTGCAGAGACCTTTCATTATCAAGAGATATGCTTTCATGGCTTGGGCTCTGGAATTCATAAAGTATATACTTGGAGGATAGGAAGGGGTTATTTCTTCACCTGTCAAATGAGAGTAGCAGTATGCTATATTCTTGGGTTTCTGTGCTGTTCTTGTGTAGACTACTGTTGTCAGCATTTTAATGATGATGTTGTATTTCCTCCATCACTCATATTCTCCAACACTATTGTGCACTAAATAATCATACCTCTCCATTAAATACTATTGACTATTGCTCAGGTGCTAGTCAAACTAACATCCAGTTGAGAGGCTTGAACTTTCTTAGAATCATGGTCATGTTAAAGTTTTCTCAAAAGAGCTAATAATTATTGTGTGTGACTGTATGATCTGCCATATAAATATATTGTTTTTTAATTTTAATTTTTTGTTTTCAATATATCCTAACCACAGTATCCCCTTCTTCCACTCCTCCCAGTTTCCACCAACTTCCCCTTTTTCACAGATCCACTCCTTCTCTGTCTCCCTTCAGAAAAACATAGGCCTCCCAGGGATATCCACTGAACATGGCATAATAAGATGCAATAAGACTAGGCACAAACACACCCATTAAGGCTACCTGAGATAACCTAGTAGGAGGAAACAAGTTCCAAGAGTAGGCAAAAGAGTCAGAGACACCCTACTTCCACTGTTAGAAGTCCCCCAAAACACCAAGCCAACAGCCATAACATATATGTAGATGACCTAGTGTAGACCCATGCATGCTCTGTGATTGTTGCTTCAGACACTGTGAGCCCTTACCAGCCATACTTAGTTGAAGTCTGTGGACTATGTTTTCCTGGTGTCTTTGATTCCTCTGGCTTCTACATTTCTTTCATTTCTGTGACTTCACCATGCTCCAAGGGGAGGGATCCAATGGTGTAGCTGAAGTTTTCCTGGTCCTGCCTGGCTCCTACAGCCTCAAACTCCTGCAGCTGCTCAGACCCAAATGAACACACAGAGGCTTATATTAGTTATAAACTGTGTGGTCTAATGGCTCAAGCTTCTCACTATCCAGCTTTTACAACTTAAATTAACCCATTTCTATAAATCTATACTTTGCCACGTGGCTCATGGCTTACCAGTACTTTTACATCTTGTTTCTCAAGCTGGCAGCTGGGAGTACATTCTCTGTTCTGCCTTTCTACTTCCTCCTCTCTAGTTAGAATGCCCCACCTAACCTCATTCTGCCTCATCATTGGCCAAACAGCCTTATTTATCAACCACTCAGAGCAACACATATTCATAGCATACAGAACAACATCACCCATCACAAGGGAGAATTCCTATTTGGGCTCTTTACCAATGTATGGCTGTGGGTCTTTGTATTTTCTCCCAGGAGCTGCTTGTGGAAGCCTCTTTGATGATGATTGGGCTAGGCTCAGATCTATGAGTATATAAGAATATTATTAGTAATCATTTTATTGTTTTTTTTCTATCATAGATCTTTGGGCTCTCCAGCCTCCTGTTCCTGGTCATCCAGGATGTATTGATCATGGGCTCCCTCTACTGATGAGGGTATCATATTAGACTATTCATTGGTTGGCAACTCCCATAGGTTCTACCGCTCCTGTGTCTCACCACATTTTATAGGTGGGATTGAGTATAGGTCAATATTTTTGTGCCCAGGTTGTTGTTCCAGTTCTTCTTCTAGAAGCCTTGCCTGTTTACAGAGGGTGGCTGGTTCATGCACCAAATCCTCCATTACTAGGAGTCCTCATTATTGTCATCTTCTTAGAATCCTGCAAGTTTCTAATGCACTAGGTTTCTATATTACCCAACCAACTGCCCTCCAATTCCAGGCATCTATTCCCATGCTGTCTCCCTCCATTAGTCCCTCTCACTGGATCACTCTTGTTCCCATTGCCACATACCCCAGTCTACTTACAAAATCTATTATATTTTCCTTCCCAAAAGATCCACGAATCCCCCTTAGTGCCATCCTTGTTAATTAGCTTTCCTGGGTCTGTGGATTGTAGCATGATTATAATTGACTCAACAACCAATATCCACTTATGAGTGAGTACATGCCATGTTTGTCTTTCTAGGTCTGGTTACCTACTCAGGATGATTTTTTTCTATATCTATACGTTTTCCTGCAAATTTCTTGTTGTCATTAATTTAACAGCTGAGTAATACTCCATTGTATAAATGTACCACATCTTCTTTATCCATCCCTTAGTTGAGGGACATCTAGGTTGTTTCCACTTTCTGGTTATTATGAATAAAATGATGTTATAGACATAGTTGAGCAACTGTCTTTGTGGTAGAATGGTGTGTCTTTTGGGTATATGCTCAAGAGTGGTGTAGCTGGGTCTTGAGTTAGATATATTTCCAGAACTGCCATATTGATTTCCATAGTGGCCGTAATGCACTCAGAGCAGCAATGGAGGAGTGTTCCCTTTGTACCACTTCTTGCCAGCATGAGCTGTCACTTGTGATATTGATCATAGCCATTCTGACAGGTGTGAGATGGAATCTCAGAGTCATTTTGATTTGCATTTCACTGATGGCTGATGATAAACATTTTTTTAAGTGTTGCTCAGCCACTTGAGATTCTTCTGTTACAATTCTCTATTTAGGTCTGTACCTTTTTAAAAAAAACAGGATTATTAGTTTTCTTGATATCTAGTTTCTCAAGTTCTTTATATATTTTTTATATTAGCCTTCTGTCAGATGTGGAGTGGTTTGAAATATTTTCCCATTCATTGGGATGTAATTTTGTCCTACTGATAATGTCTTTTTCTTTACATAAGCTCTTTAGTTTCATGGGGTCCCATTTATTAATTATTTATCTTAGTGCCTGTTCTACTGATGTTCTGTTCAGAGTTATATCTTATGCCCATATATTCAAGGCTATCTCCTACTTTCTCTTGTATCCAGTTCAGTTTGTTTGGTTTTATGTTGAGGTCTCTGATCCACTTGGACTTGATGTGCAGGATGATGAATATGAATCACTTTGCATTCTTCTACATGCAGATATCCAGTTTGAATAGCACTGTTTGTTAAAGATGCTTTCTTCTTCCATTGTGTATTTCTGTGTTCTTTATGAAAAACCAGGTATTCATAGGTGTGTGGATTTATTTCTGGATCTTCAGTTTTATTCCATTGATCAACATGTCAATGTGTTTAAGCATGGTTTTATGCCAATACCATGCAGTTTTTATTACTTTAGCTCTGTAGTAAAGCCTGAAATCAGGGATGGTGATCCCTCTAGAAGTTGTTTTATTGTTGTCTTCAATTTACTTTATGTAGCCACTTGGTGCTGTGAACTTTCTTATTAGCATTATTTTTATTGTGTTCCATAAGTTTGAGTATGTGTGCATTCATTTTCACTGATTCTAGGAGTTCTTTAATTTCTTTCTTTATTTCTGCCTTGACACAGTCAGTAGTCATTCCTTAGGAAGTTGTGAAGTCTCCTTGAGTTTGTAGGCTTTCTATTGTCTCTGTTGTTGTTGAAATTCAGCTTTAATCCATGATGATTTGATAGGACACAGGGAGATATTTCAAGTTTCTTGTATGTGTAGTTTCTTTGTGACTGAGTATGTGGTCAATTTTGGAGAAACTTTCCTGAAGTACTGAGAAGAAGGTATATTCTTCCATGTTTCTGTGAAATGTTCTATAAATATCTGTTAGGTCCATTTTATTTAGTATGTCTGTTAGCTTCAGTATTTCTGTTTATTTTTTGTCTGGATGATCTGTTTGTTGGTGAGAATGGGGTATTGAGGTCTCCTACTATCAATGTGTGATACTAGCTTTAGTTACATTTCTTTTACAAACATGGATACCATGGAATTAGGGCCTATATGTTAAGAATTGAAACCTCATCTTGATTGATTATTCCTTTGGTGAATATGAAGTGTCCTTACTCATGTCTCTTGATTAAATTTTGGTTTGAACTCTATTTTGCCATGTGTTAGAATGGCTACAACAGCTTGTTTCTTAGATCCATTTGTTGAAAAATCTTTTTCCAGCACTTTACTCTCAGGTAATGTCTATATTTGATGTTGTGGTGTGTTTCTTGTATTCAGCAAAAGGATGGATCTGGTTTTCATTTCCATTCTTGCTGGGAGCCACAGGATTGAGCAGTAGGGATTCAACCATTATTGATAAAAGTGAACCTATCACAACCAAGGGTTCTGATGGAAGACTAAGCCAAGATACAAGAGGTGTTGGAATTATTGCCTTTTGAATGAATTGGCTTTTTTATGTAGATTTTCTTGCTGCAGAAGCTATAGCTTTTCCCATCTGTTACAAAATTGGGATTTATTCCCATGGTTTAGAAGTGTTCTGCTCATTTATTGGGCACAATTTTCCCTATGTATTGATGTATTTAGATG